AGACCCAAAATACACCCAAAGTCTACTTATGGCATCTTTATACCAAACTGCATAATTAATATATAAATTAGTGTAAACTCCAGATAAAATAAAGATCAAATATGAATATATAGGCTGTAAAATAGGGCCTAATTACAAACTTATCAAATTCCTTAAGTTTGACTTTGCTCTTTGCTTCTCATCAAACTAAGTACACATAAAAGACATGAATCATAGGTTCTTTCAAAAAGGTTGTAATGTGGCCAGGCTTACAAATAATTCATTGTTTTTCTGGAATTCAAAGTGAGTTAGAACATTAATGCAACAAGATCACCATCCATTTGTTGGTTTCCATCTCTATTCTTCCTCACTCTAATTAACACCATATTTTTATTAATCTTCGGATGTCTTCTTCTAATTTCAACATTTTTCTCTCTTTTGTCACATAAATTTCATTCTTTATATTATATTTGCTTCTTTTCTTTTTCTAGAAAGAAACTCCAATTATTCATTTATTTTCCATGTAAATCCAACTCATATTTTTGCAAAAATAGCATTCAAGACCTATCATGCCCTAATGCTCCTCCTCAAAGGTATGGAAAATAATAATTCTCATGTAAGGGCTTGAGGGACATATATTTTCCAAAAAATTTGCTTTTAGGCTCAAGGGTTTCCAAAAAAAAAAATGGATAAATCTTGAATATGGGTTGACTTTTTGGCTCTAGCTATAAAACTGTATTTACAAACTATGCCCCAATCATCTCTATAACTAATTGTGCTTTATAGCAATTAGAAACTTGAACAAAGTTAACTGCCAAAATTCAGTGAAGTTTATTCACTTATTTACTGTACTCACACTTTTACTCCTTTGTCTGAAATCATTTTTCTTGAATTAAGATAAATGAATTACTCGAATTTCCTAATTGATTATTTCCATGCATAAGACATCCTAACTATCTTTCATTTAAAACCTTAACTTTTCACATTCATAAAAACCCTTTTTCTTTGATTTTTCAAAACAATTCCTAGATTCAGAACATGACCCATTTGAGTATCTCCAAACCACTTTCCACAAAATAAATGGTACTATCTCCAAAAACCAAAAAGGAGTTTTTCAAATCATTTTTTAACAATAAAAATTTTCAATAACTCCACCAAGTCAGTACTCATCATCTAATTTTATACCATATAATTACCATTGCACCCATTACTCATTATAACATGTTTAGACCACCAATAACCATATATACTTGAAGTACCTAAATTTAAAGTGTCAAATGAAATTAAACACATAGTCAAATACCACATAAACACATATAAACAAAACATAAATCTAAACAGTAACATAAAAGTGTCCCTTATATTCTTTTCTTCCTTTGACAAAAATTTCATCTCTCTAATCCTCCTCTTTCATGTTAGCACCAGCATCTTCATCATCATCATCATCTCCATCTCCATCTCCTGCTCTAGATAAGCCTACCCCTCCCTGGAAATGTGGCATGTCCCCAGGTCACTACTGATAAGTTGCAAACTCCTCTAAGCTCATCCATATGTGTTGACCCAGATATTGCAGCTGAGCCTGATGGTGGTAAGCATGCTGCTGATGCATCTGGCCCCTGTGGATGGCAGAATTCTGAAGAGCCAAATGGTCTAGGCAGAGCTCGAGACGGTGGAGGCAGTCTGCAAAGGTTGAGTCATCTGGCCTGCTGGACACTTCCTATGTTGGGGGTTCTTGAGGCTGAGGTTGAGGTTGTGGTGGTGGAAAAGGTGGTGGACCTCCAAGCTGATCCTCTATGCAATGGTTCTGAATATAGGCTAAAGTGATGGGAAACTTAATAGGCTTTGCAAATTGAATACCCCTCACTCCACCAAGTGAGCCACTCTCTCTTTTCTTGATCACAAATCTATAAATTTCATTTGTGATAATGCAGGCTACATCTATAGATTCTCCTCTCAGTATACTGTATAAGAGGTAGTAGTACCTCATGGTCATGGATGAAGTGTGGGCTCTAGGGACTCTGTTGTGGCATATGAAGGTGTCTACACTTGAGCTAAGGTGGTCATGTTCTTCCTGTAGATCCGCAGAGCCTTCCCTTCAGAATTTGAGGTGTAACTCTTGTTTGCAATGCATAAGGCTTGAGCAGTGGCATAATCACTGAAGGGTTGGGTGCATGAATTGAGCTTGGTGTGGAAGAAATTTGTTTCATTCTTCTCCAGCTGCAATAGGTTCCCCAAATAATTATTGATTGCCTCCCTGGAGTAGTCCACCCAAACTCTTCTCACCCTAAACCTTGTATCAAGCCTTTTTGAATTAAAATTTAGTTTAGCATTGGCATAGAATTCTTTTAACGATTTTTGGGGTCGTAATATCCTCTCATAGTTAAATTAATCAAATTCCCTTTCCTTCAAATCTACTCTTCTTTCCTCTATGATTAACCAATCTTGAATTTCTTTAAATCTGTCCTCTCTATCTTTGTCTCTGAATTTCCTAGGATCAAATGGTGGTGGTTATGAAGAAGAAGCACATTTCTGTTTCCTAGGTGGGGGAGCTGGGTCTTTGTGAGCTCTAACTTTGATTTTCCTGAAAAATCACAATCGCACAATTCAGTAAATGAACAATGTAATGTAAATTACAATGATAATAAAACTAATTCAACGCAATGTGTTAACCCAAGCAAGTTCAAGTTCATTTGAATGATAATCCTACAATCAATAGTCTTATTCAACCCAATTGCAATCAAATCCCAGATTAATACAGTATACTTCAAATTCATTTAATAGAATTCATAAAAGTATCAGCTGTGAAAGTATTTTAATTCCAAACATGTTTTACAACCTCCATCATGACAATTAAGCACAAAGAGATACTAGACATATAGCAACATGCACAATATCTTGACCATTCTCTCACTAATGCAAAAATTTTGACCTTTAGTCCCTAAGGTTCATGAAAGCAACCAAGAATCTTGCTACCTAAAAGTGTTGGGGTTGGAAAGTGGATTTTCTAAACACTTGCTAGCAACATCCCTTAAATTTTACTGTAGTGGCCTATTAATTCATAAATCATATTTTTGAAGTCCTAGAAATCAAAGAAATTAGGGAAAAACATGTGTTTACAACTGTTACACCTATCCCTCATCAAAACATCATATTGTCCCTTATAATTACCCAAACTCTGCATTTCAAAATCCTAATTTTCAAAATAATCGAATTAGAAACCTAGGGTTCATGGAGAATTGATGCCTTTATACCCAAAAATGACACTATAATCAAGTTCCTTCAAATTTCACAAACACATTATGACCCTAAGTATCAATATTCCACGTTTTAAGATTCTAGGGTTTAAGAATCCTAACTCCACATTCCAAAAATCAACAAAACACCCTCGTCACTCTTACAATAATAATTTCTATTTTTTAACATCAATTTTCAGAAATCCTACACAAAATTATCTTGACTCTTTGTACACAATCTTGAGTGAAAAAGAGTGCAAGTTGATTGATTAGTGATGGGGAAAGGGATTGAAGAGAGTTGGAGGGAAAAGAGCGCGTTTAAAATGTGAAAATGGCCCTCTTGTCCTCAATTTAAAAACTGGGTCGCGAGCCTCTTGCTACAACGACAAGCTTTCGCTGTAATGACAGGGCAACAATTTACCCCTTTTTCTTCAAGGTGCTCTCGTTATAGTGAGGGATCTCTCGCTGTAGCGACAAGACAACAATTTCAATGGTTTTTCGAAGTGCTCTCTCGCTATAGCGAAAGTATCAGAAAAATATATGCAATTTTATTTGTTTTTTAGCTGTAGCGAGAGTGGTCTCCCTACAGTGACACTATTCTCACTGTAGCAACAAGTTTACAGTTTATGGTCCTTTTTTTGCTCTCTTTTTGCTATAGCGACAGACCTCTCGCTGTAGCAAGCAGTACACAGAATACTTCCCAAACTTATGTTAATACTCTTCTGACCTTACCATTCTACTTTCTTTTTAACCCCTTAGTCACTCTATCATTTAAAATCAATTCAATTAACATCTAGCACTCAAATTCACAACAAAATAGGAATAGATACCTTGAATCATACATAGAGTCATAAAATACCAAGTTAACATCCTAAACAACTAATAAACACTGAAAACAAACAAACAAACAACATAAAAGATAGAATTTCACAAACAAGCACTGGGTTGCCTCCCAAGAAGCATTTGTTTAATGTCTCATAGCTTGACGCTTGTTTCTTTAAGGATCATGCAGTGAAATAATGGTGGTGAGTATTTTCACTTCACCACCTAGGTATGACTTGAGCCTTTGTCCATTGACTATCCAACTTCTCTGAATAGCTGGATCTTGTAATTCCACAGCTCCATAAGGCTTCACCTCCTTCACAAGAAATGGTCCTGTCCATTTTAATTTCAATTTTCTAGGGAACAACCTTAACCTAGAATTAAACAAGAGTACTGATTAGCCATACCTGAATTCTCTCTTGAGGATCTTTTTGTCGTGATAGTCCTTCATCTTTTCCTTGTAAAGTTTTGAAGACTCGCATGCAATGAGTCTCATTTCTTCTTTTCTTCTAGTTCTTGCAATTGAAGCATCCTTTTCTCACCTGAAGCTTTTGGATCAAAATTTAGGAACTTCAAAGCCCAAAATGCTTTGTGTTCAAGTTCCACTAGCAGGTGACATGCCTTCCCATAAATAAGCTGAAATGGGGAGAGACCTGTAGGAGCTTTATATGCAATTTTATAAGCCCAAAATGCATCATCCAGCTTAAGAGACCAGTCCTTTCTTGAAGTTGTAATAGTCTTCTCCCAAATCCTTTTAATTTCTCTGTTGGAGACCTCAGCTTGACCATTTGTTTGGGGGTGATAGGGTGATGCTACCTTATGCCTTACCCCATAATGCTCTAGGACCTTCTGCATTTGAGAATTACATAAATGAGACCCTCTATCACTGATTAATATCCTTGGTGTGCCAAATTTGCAAAAGATGTTTTTCTTCAAGAATTTTATTACAGTTTTGGCATCTGCCTTCTAAAATGCGATAGCTTCAACCCATTTTGATATGTAGTCTACTGCCACCAAGATGTACTCATTAGAATATGAAGCTGGAAGTGGTCCTACAAAATCTATTCCCCAACAGTCAAATACTTCTACCTTTAGGATGCTTGAAAGAGGCATTTCATGCCTTCTTGAAATTCTACCTGATTTTTGACATATAGTGCATTGTTGGACATAATTTTGTGCATATTTGAATAAAGTGGGCCAATAAAATCCAAATTTGAGGACTTTTGCAGCAATCCTCTCTCCATTAAAATGCCCATCATATGGAGGACTGTGACAATGGCACAATATGCTTTGAATTTCATCTAATGCAACACATCTTCTTAATAGTCCATCAGCTCCTAGTTTAAAAAGATGAGGATCATCCTAGACATAATACCGAGCATCTTTCAAAAATTTCTTCTTCTAATGCTAGTTAAAATCTTCAGGGATAACATCTGCTGTTTTGTCATTAGCCATGTCTGCAAACCATTTCCTTCCTTGTACCAAGAGAAGTTTTTCTTTTAGAAACTCCTCTATCACTTCTATTTCTTTGTTGGTCACCTCCTGGTTCACTAATCTTGATAGATGATCAGCAACAAATTTTTCACTGCCCTTTTTATCCTTCATAACTAAATCGAATTCCTACAATAACAAAATCCACTGAATTAATCTTGGTTTTGAATCAAATTTAGTTAAACAAATATTTAATTGCGGCATAATTAGTATAAATTACAATTTGGAACCAATCAAGTAAGATCTAAATTTTTCCAATGCATACACTTTTGCTAGTAATTATTTTTCAGTGGTAGCATAATTTACTTATTCTTCATTTAAAACTTTACTAGCATAGTAAATGACATGGAAAACTTTAGATTTTCTTTGTCCTAGTACAGGCCCTACAGCATAATCACTTGCATCACACTTTAATTCAAAATCTAAATTCCAGTCAGGGGCGACTATAACAGGAGAAGAAATCAATTTTTGTTTGAGTAATTCAAAAGCATACAAGCATTCAACATCAAAATTACAAGGGGTATCCTTATTGATTAAATTGCTAAGTGGCTTTGCAATCTTTGAAAAGTCTTTAATGAATCGTCTGTAGAACCCAACATGCCTAAGGAAACTTCTGATTCCTTTTACATTTATTGGTGGTGGTAGCTTCTTAATCACCTCTACTTTTTCTTTATCAACTTCAATGCCCTTGGAGGAGATCTTGTGGCCCAGCACCACACCTTAAGTCACCATAAAATGGCATTTTTCTCAATTGAGCATCAAATTTGTTTCAACACACCATTTCATTACGGTGTCTGGATTTGTCAAGCAATCTTCAAATGATGATCCAAAAACTGAGAAGTCATCTATAAATACTTCTATGCATTTCTCCACCAAATCTAAGAAGATAGCCAACATTCATCTTGAGAAAGTAGCTGGTGCATTACACAATCCAAATAGCATTTTTCTATAAGCAAAAATACCGAATGAACATGTAAAGGTAGTTTTCTCTTAATCTTCTGGATCTATAGTAATCTGATTGTACCTGGAGTATCCATCCAGAAACAATAGAGGGCTTGTCTAGCTAATCTCTCCAACATTTGATTCATAAATGGCAAAGGGAAGTGATCTTTTCTAGTAGCCTGATTAAGTTTTCTGTAGTAAATGCACACTCTCTAGCCAGTAACTGTTCTTGTCAGAATCAATTCATCCTTGTCATTTCTGATTACAGTTATCCCCTCTTTCTTTGGAACTACCTAGACTGGACTAACCCAGACACTATCTGAAATAGGATAGATCATTCCAGCATCCACTAGTTTCATCATTTCCTTCTTTACAACTTCTTTCATGGTAGGATTTAGATGTCTCTGAGGTTGAGCCACTGGCTTGAAATCTACTTTCATATGAATCTTATGTTTGCAATAAGAAGGACTAATACCTTTAAGATCTGATAAAGTCCATCTTATAGCTCCTTCATTTGCCTTCAATACTAAAATCAATTTTTCCTCATCTCCTTTTGATAATGCACTGCTACTTACTATTGGCTTCTTCCATCCATTTTCAAGAAACACATACTTAAGATGTAATGATAACATTTTCAGCCCTAATTTTTGCTCCTCAATCTTCTCTTCTTGAGGAAAATTTTCATGGTGAGCTTCATGTAGAGGTAGTTCTTTAGAGGATTCAAGATTTTTCAAACAATCTTCAATCTCCTTTTCCTCTTCTTTATTTAAATCCTGATAAGCTTCAATTAAAGCTTTTTCCAATTGACTGGACTTGTGCAATTGTGTCTTTTCCACCATTCAAAGCTCATCAATTACATCTATCCTAAAGCATTATTATTTATCTTTAGGATGGTGCATAGCTTCAAAGACATTAAAATTCACTTCTTCATCATGGACTCTCACTTTGAGTTTGGCATCATCTACATCAATAATTACCTTGGTAGTCTTCATGAAAGGCCTTCCTAAAATTAGAGAAACTTCCACATCTTTTTTCGTATCCATGATGATAAAATCAACTAAAAATCCAAATTTATCTACCTTCACCAAGACATCCTTTACTACACCATAAGGAAATTTCATAGATCTATCTGCCAGTTGCAAAGTCATTCCTCTCCAATCCTTTTCAACATGGATAATGGCATCAAGTTGATACTTACTCCTAGATCCAACAAAGCTTTTCCTACAGGTAATGCACCTATGGTTACTAGAATTGTGAAGCTACCTAGATCCTCTATTTTCTAAGGTAAAGATTTCTAAATTATTGCACTGTAACCTGTCTCTAGCTCCACTGTCTCCTCCGAGAATCTTCTTTTCTTTGTGAGCAACTCTTTCATAAATCTAGCATATGTTGGCATCTGGTCTATAGCCTCCATGAAAGGAATGTTAATTTGCAATCTTTTAAAAATGTCTATGAATCTGGCAAATTGTCTCTCCTTGTCTTTCTTGGAAGGAATCTTAGGGTATGGTAGGTCTTTCAATTGTGGGAGCTCACCCTTATCCTTCTTTTTATCACTTTTTTTTTTCTTTTTCTTTCTTTTTTTCACTATATACACTTTTCTCATTATTCTTTTTAACTTCTTCCTCACTTCCACTCTTTTCTTTTTCACTCTCTTTTCTCTTCTTCGCCTCTTCTTCATTTGCCAAATGATCACCAATCCCTTTTTCAATCTCCTTACCACTTCTTGTGGTAATTAATTTGCAATGCTTCTTTGGGTTGGTTTGTGTATTGGCAGAGAAGTGTCCTGATGTTTGCTGCTTTGACAGTTATTTTGCCAACTACCCCACTTGTGTCTCTAAATTTTTTATGGACGCCTTAGTGTTCTTCTGGTTGGTCATTTACATCTGCATGAATTTCTCTAAGGTATTCTCCACTTTGGACCGTCTCTCATGAAGTGGAGGGAAATGTGGCTAATGTTGTTGTTGGTTGTATAAAGATTGCTGATGAAAATGTGGTGGTCTGTTGGATGGTCCTACCTCTTATCTCCACCCATATCCTTGGTTTTGGTTCTGCCTTCCACCCTATGAAAAATTGTTAGAATAAGAATTAGTGTTAGGGTTAGAAAAATTAACTCCCTGAGGTGGGTTGCTCATATAATTAACTTCCTTATTTTCTGCATTGTGAGTTGGGTAAGCACATTTGCCATTTAGATGGTCCTTTCCATACAAATCACATATGAGTGCTTGGCTAGTTATGGAGTGACTTGAATGAAGCTGTTGGGGCAACTTGGTCATCTGTTTAGTGAAGACTTCAATTTGTTAAGTTAAAATTTTATTTTGAGCAAGAATAACATCTGATGTGCTCAAATCTAAAACTCCTCTTCTCTGAACTACCCTTCTATTATGTTGAGCTTTCCTATCAGTGGATGAAAGAGCATTAATTATTCTTGTGGCTTGCTCTGCATCTACTACCATCATTGTTCCATCAGCAGCAGCATCCAAAATCATTTTAGTGTCAGGCCGAAGACCATTGCAAAATGTATTCAACTGATCTACATCTTCAAACCTATGGTTAGGACATTTCCTAAGAAAGGACTAAAAATGTTCCCAGGCTTCATAAAATGCTTCATCCTGATCTTGTTTGAAAGTGGAGATATCAGTTTTTGCACTAACATACTTGTATGGTGGAAAGAATCTAGTTAGAAATTTCCTTTCAACATCACTCCAGTTTGTTAGACTCTGATTTGGATGTGATTTCAACCATTCTTTTGCTTTCCTAATCAGAGAAAATGGAAATAACTTCAAATATGTTGCCTCCTCATCATCATCAAATCCCTATAGTGGATACCAACTCATAAAAATTATCAAGATGAGCATATGGGTCTTTATGGTCGTTTCTTGAGAACTGATGTGAACTAATCAAATTCAATAGACTTAATTTCTACAACTGTTGCATTGGGTGGAACCATTATACTTGAATAGTGCCTTGGACCTTGATGTATTGCATAATCACCAAGAGTTCTTCTTAGTGGTGAATTTTCTCTTGGTCATCCATTCCCTTTATGATTTCCACCATTCCTATTGCTACCTTGGTTATTTTCTCTAGGATCAGTCATTTCTTCCTGAGTGAATTTCTAGTGGTTGTGAAGTTGAAGATACTCCTTGTTGTGCTTGTTTCTTTTTCTTCCTTATTGCACTATTATTTCTTCTTGATGTTCTTTCAATCTTTGGATCAAACAGCAACTAATTTGCAGGAGCTTTTCTTCGCAATATCATAAACAAGGAACTTGAAACAAGATTAGCAACAAAGAGTAATCAGATAAATGAAAATTAATTAAAACTAATTACAATACTCCACTAATTATACTTAAAAACTAATACAATTTGCACATTACTCCCTGGCAATGGCGCCAAAAACTTGTTGATACTTTTCCTTCAAACACGGCAAGTGTACCAGGTCTGTTGCAAGTAATAACCGATAGAGTACCGGAGTATAATTCTCATAGAGCAATTCAAACGTATTAATTATTAAGATACAATTTAATTGAGCTTATATACAATAGAATTGATAGATGATTTTCATGAAATGTTGAATAACAATTAAAATGTAAAATGATAATATAAAATATGATAAAATTCAAGTTTAAGAAGCTGGGATTGAATTTCATCTATCTTTTTCTCTATATTCTAGTAATTCAGCGATAACTATAGCAACCATTTACAATGAGTTTGATGCAAAATACAAAAGTCCTATATTTCAATTCCTTAAAAATATATTTCTAAGATAATTTCTCAAATACTAATTCTTTAAACAGTTAACAAACTATCCAACATTAAAATCAGGATTTAAAAGCAATCAATAACTTGAAATCTATTCCTAGAGTAACCAGTTGTTGAGTAATCTCAATTAGATCTAAATAATATTTTTCCAAATATAACTTAGATCTGAGCTCCAGAAACCATCAAATAGACAGATTCAACCATTAATACGGATTGAAATCACCAAATCAATAAAAATAAAGAAGAAACAACTATATTTATATAAATTACTAATAATACATCAAGTTTGAAGATTTACATTCAATCTCATACAAAGTTTAGTTGCTCATAGCAACCATAGTAACACGAATTGAGAGTAGAACATCAAAAGTTGAGTATTCCTACTCTTCTCCTATGCCTTACGTCGCTATCCCTCTCTGGAAAATGTAAAATAAAATAGTAACCTACTTCAAAAACATAAAAGTCATCTTTTATACTGGTTTGCTCGAACTGCTCTCGCTACAGCGGCACCTTCTTCCTGTAGCGAGACATGGAGATAGAAATTAGGTCATTTTGTTTGTCTCTCGCTGTTGCGATAGTTCTCGCTTCAGCGACATAGGGGACTCTCGCTACAATGACACATTCTCACTGTAGCGAGAGGAGCACATAATCACGCTATTCATAATTAAGCATTCTCGCTGCAGCGAGAATCTCGCTGCAGCGAGAAACCTCCAGAAGTTAACTTTTCTATAACTTCATGCTTTATATGCTCTCTTTTTTTCTGACTTTTTCTAATCTTCTTCAACTTTAAATGATGTCTCTCATTTGATTTCAGCTACAAAAATAGATTAAAAAAAGGAATCAAAACACTACAATTGCATCTTTTCTTAAAATATACAAGTATTTGTAAAAGTTTCAAGTTTAGGAGAGATTTAACAAAATAATCCAAACTTTTAACATTAAAAATGCTCAAATCATCATCTCAAATTACTTATTGTATACAATTATCATTAGGTTGATGCAACCTTACTCTACAAGTTCAGTTGCTCAAAGATTCCTTTATAAAAAATTACTCGTCATTTTTTCTATCATTGTTGATAGATGTGAGGTACTTGAATTCAACATTTCTTATAACATTTCACACTATAACTTATTGCTAATGCATGTCACAAGATTCTCTTATAAAAAAAATGAAAACTTTATTTTTTTTTGTCATAATTCATGTAACATTTCACTCTACAAGTTAGTGTTCATTTTACCACAAAACACTATTCTCTTTTATTTTTGTTGATTCAAGTTTGATTGTGGAGAAATAATAAGATCATATTTTGATATATTTTATGAATTATATTTATACACTTAAAATCCTATTTTATATATATTTATACTAATTAAGCTATTAATTATTACACTTTAGCTGGAAGTTGTTATCAGTGCATTATGAAGATATTTTGGATAAAAATTAGCTAATTTTTGCCCTTAACCGTGCTATGTGAATTTGAGTTTGAATTTAAAATTTAAACTTAGATAAAAATTTAGATATGAAGATTTGGAGCAATTTTCAGTTGAAATTCTAAAGTTAAGATTCTGATTATGGATAAAATCGATTAAAAAAAAATAGAGCTCAACCGACTAGGAACACAGGGTACTGCCTATACAAAGAGGCCTTATGCTCCACACTTGATACATTTTTTCCACTTCATTCAACACATTGTCTTCCCTTTCTTTGTTTGGACTCATTTCACTGTTGAGAGTTATTGGAGATTGTCGGCAAAGACAATGAACCCCTTCGAAGTCAGAGCGAGTGATTGAGCACTCCTTTGGAGAACGAGAACTTTTTTTTATCTTTTTTCCTTTTGTGTTTCTCTTGTTTGAATTCTCTCTGGTGTTTCATGGATTGGTTCATCATGTTTTTAGTTGTTTATTTCATTATAAGTAACTAAATCCATAGCTAGGGTTATGGTGGATCCTATAGCATACTTTGTGTGATTTTTACTTTTAATATCAGTATTAGTTTTCCTTTAATATTTAGCTTTTATCCTATTGAATCATATTGTGCATGTTAAGAATTGATCGTCTTTAGCATCCCATAATTAGTTGCATCATAGACGATAATACTATGTGTAATTAATAGAATTATAGAATAAAACGAGATAAGGAGTTAGGTTAATCACACTTAATTCCTCTCTTTCAACCGTTATTGAATCAACAAACTCATTGGGTCTTTATGCTTTCTTGACCATTTACCTCAAATGATCATTGAAAACAATTGCTTAGGAAAAAGAATATTAACATTGTATGATTATTGGGTGTTAATAGAACTAGTATGAGTAGTTGGCAAATATTTGGATATCAAGAAAAATGATAATAAAATCTTTTGCTTGACCATATTATCATAAATATGTCTTACAACCTATATTTCTATATTATTACTTTAACATCCATATTAAAAATAATCAATCACATAGTTAAGCCTAACGAAGACTTAGAGTTTGAATTTTATAAAAAAAAAATCTACTAAAAGAATATTCTATCATATTATAAATATTCATGACTCAAAAGGACTTATTTCCTGTAAGAGTATACGTTGGTAAAAAATATTTTATTTAAAATTTTTATATAGATAAATTATTTAAAATTTTAAACAAAAATAAAAAAACTAATATTTTTTATTGCTTTTTTTAGAAAAATTAAAAAGATTATCAACCTCTGCTCCTTGACACGTGTAGATTGGGTCAAAATCTCAATTCCAGCTTAAATATGCAAAGTAGCATTTTGCAATTTTAGTGTAAAATGAAGGCAATTTAAAGAATTTTTTACAAAAAAATATTAAAAAATAAAAAATTACACAAATAGACCCAACTTTCCTTTATTTACCAAGATAGACCTGTTTTTTTTTTCAAATTTTTTTATATGTTTATGTAATAAAAAATATTATTATTTAAATTATATTTATATATTTATATTTTGTTAAAAGGAATATTTATAATATGTTTTTCTAATAAATATTTATAAATATTTTGTTAATTATATATAATAAAATAAGTTTTATTATTTGAATTATGTTTATTTTTTATATTAGGTGAAAATGAATAAAAATAATAAATAATATTTATTTTACACGTTTATTAAATTTTTTTTTACATATTTATGATAATAAATAATATTTTTAGATAAAAACAATAATTATATTTTTTAAAAACTAATTAAATATTTAAATAATAGGTATATTATTTTAGATAGTAATGTTAATGCTTAAATTATTTATACTTAAAAAATAATAATTAAATTTTTAAAAGTTAAATAAATATATTAAATATTATTCTGTTTATTTATTTATTTAAATATGTAATTTTGAGTTTATATTTTTAAATATTAGTATGATAAAATGATATTTTGAATAAAAATTTTATTTTAATTAAATTAGTTTTTTTTTAAATTACATTATTTAAAATTAATTTTTAATACCCTAAACCATAAATCATAATTCCCAATGTTTAATACTTTAAACCGCAAACCCTTAATATTATAATTTTTAATAAAATTTATGTTAGAATAAAAAAATATTTTTAAAAAGTAAATAAAATATTAAATTATAAGTTAAGTATTTATACTTGAGATAAATTTTTTAAAATTAATGTTTTCATATTACTAAGGTAACATTGATAAAGACAAAGTGCATTAATAAAGATGATAACAAATTCATAACAACATTAATAATTAACTATCTCCGTAATGGTGCTAGTTCCACAACAAGAGCGACATCTGTGACGTGCTGGGTTTCGTCATCGTGGTTGTTGCTCTAGGATTTCAGGATGAACTTGTGGAGGATTTGAATCATCATGAAGGTCTAGTTGTTAGAATGCAGTTGATGAATTACCAAGTTTATTAGCAAAATTCAGTTGGTAAAGAGGCTGCATGTAAGTTTGTGTTGAAGATGGAGTTGTAAAATCAACTTCAAATAAGTTTGTAAAAAAAATCCTCCGATATTGTTGCAAACGAATGTCTTGTGTTAATTATGTTTGCTTCTGGTATAATGTTCGAAGAAAATGATGCAGTCTCATGGTACGACGGTGTGGAAGTCGTACCAATTTTAAATGTGTTGGTAGTCCTTAGTTATTGGTGGCTCCTCCTTAAATCTTGTAGTAGTGGTGGCACAGATAGGAAATAGATGGAATTGGCAATGTACCATTCCATGTATTCTTGTGTGTGACACAATGGGCCTTGCATTGAATGACCCGTTATTGTCAGCTCACATCTGTTGTTCCATATGTCGATCTATTGAGCATGTCTTATAACCCAATTTTCATTCTGTCTTCCTTTTATGTCAATTTTGTGGAGGTCATTCAAATTATTCGGTGGAGAAGAGACTTCTTGGAAGAGACGAAACTGTAATTTGACTCTATCTGTTAGGTGCCATTCAACAATTGCAAAACAAAGGATGGTGGTACATGAAGTCCAAAGTTAGACATCTCTATATGCTTCCGTAGGTATTGATATTTGCAAGTCTTGACTATATCATCTTGTTCTTCTAAGATTAGTTAATAAAGCTAAATGCATAAGATGTACTTTGTTGCCTATTTTGTTAGGCATCAAAACACCTCCAATTAAACCTATTATATAAGCCCTACAATGGGCGTGAACTTCTTCTTCAGATGGATCTTCTGGTCATGACAACATTTTGTCTCTCAACCACTTCAGTTTTAGCATAGAGCCAATAAGTGACTCTCCCTTAACTAACATGATACTGAGATATGTGTCACACATTTCCTCCCAGTCAAACATTTTTCGAGCAATGACTGGTAATCCATCAACTTTTAGCCCCAATTGAAGTGCAACATCCTCCAGGGTTATGGTGCACTACCCTGTTGGAAAATAGAATGTATTAGTTTCAGGTTTCCACCTCTCAACCAAAGCTGTTATCAGTGCGTGATCCACCTTAAGATGCCTTAGCTTTGCTACCCCAGCAAAACCAAGTTGTTCAAGTATAGGAACAATTAGAAGATTGGGTTTTGGCATTGAATGACAAAAAGATGAAATCATGTTTTCAGTTTCCTGCAGTTATTAACAAATTAGTAACATTATACGTAGATATTGTTTTACATATTCAATAAATAATGGTAATATGTAAAACTTACCGTTCTTCTAATGAAGGCGGACCTGTGTTCGTTTTGCTTCCACAACAACATTTTTAGTAACGGAAGCAAAGACAGGGAGAAACGAAGAACAAAGATGGATGCAAGTTTGAATGAAAACATGTGGCCTTGGATGAACATATTTATAGATAAACTTTGGTACGAGAGAGTAGCATTGGATTCTTGAAAAGTTACTATTTCTTGGTCTATGTGAATGTCAGAAGGCTTGATTGTTTGGGAGGAGAGAAAGCTTGTTTGGAAGTATATGGAATGGCTTGAATGAGAAGAGAATCCAATGTTGGGCGTGACTGAGAAGTCACTATCTCTTGGTCTACGTGAATGTCAAAAACCATCTTTATTGTAAAATATTTAATGGTATCATAGAGAGGTCACCATCACTTGTAAAACGTGGTGAAGCATTGAATGATAGGGAATCCAATATTACCATTATAAATAGCCATATTCGTGTTCATTTTTTTCATTCAACCTTCTAAGCTTGTTCCTTATTCTTGTGAACCTTCTCCTTCTAAGCTTATTCATCATTCACTTTCTTTAATCTAAAAATGTCTTCAATCTATGTCATTGTTCATTCTAATAGTGCCATTAACCAATGTCCTAATGAAGGAGTTACGTTCACTTTACCATCAACTAAATTGGTGCATCTAAAGAGAGGAGTGACTCTACAAAGGCTCAAGTAAGTCATCCATACAAAACACAATTAAGACAAAAATGAAAGGGTGGGAACTATACATTTTCGCTATCTAGTTAGACTTGGCCCATGAGTTAGCAACTACATATGTGTTGAGTTGAACAATAATGAAGACGTCGAGACACTCTTCAACATCCATGATTCAAATCAACTTCAATCAGGTATATAATTATATGTTACATTTGCTACAAACATAACCCAGGCACCACAACTTTCACCTTCACCTTCACATTCACCTTACCAAACATACGAAACTATAAATTCATCTTTTCCAACATATGATATAAATTTCAACCTTCAGTCCAACACACAACTTTTAACTAGTGAAGCATTCATGGACCTCAATGAAATACCCTCCCAACCATTTGAGCAAACCTTACCCTCTCAGCCTCTTGAACAAACCCCCATTAAAGAACATGCTGTTGTAGGTCTCCCAATCGAAGTCTTTGATTCTTTTAGTGAGGACGAAGCTGAAATCCTATCTCAATAGCAAGATGATGCAGAAGACTTCCTCCCACTTCCAAATATTTCACCATCACAACTATTAGCATTATACAACTCACTTCCACATTTTTTAGACTTCCTTAGTCAAATACAAGAACATGACTCTAAGTTCGGCCATGTCCTTGATCATGAAATGGTAGTGTATCCGCCTGGAACACTACTTGTTGGCCAACGCTTGTTAACAAAAGAACAAGTGCAAGACGCCATAAATAGATTTCACATTGTCAATCATTGCACTTATAAGGTGAAGATGTCAAGCACAACTAGGCTTGTTGTGGAATGCGTTCACAACGATTGTGCCTAGAGATGTTGAGCTATATTGCGCACCAAAGAGCAACATTGGAAAATAATGAAGCTTGAAGGGTGCCACACATGTCTTTCCCTACTCATTTCACAGGATCATAACAAGTTGGGATCACAAATGATTTCTCAAACTATTCGTAAAATTATTGAGGCTGATCCATACACACCTATCGTAACCATCTTAGCCCACATAAAGTCCACAATGGGTTACACAATCAACTTTAGAAAGGGATGGTTGGGGAAACAACATGCCTTTAAAAATATCTCCAGAAATTGGGAGGAGTCATACCATAAGTTACTTAGACAGTTGCAAGTAATGCAACTGTATGTTTCGAGCTTCATCTGGAAATTGAGTACACAACCAGCATACAAGGGTGGCTTGTTCTACGAGGGAAATGTGTTCTTCAAGAGGTTGTTTTGGACCTTCAAGCCATGCATTGATGGTTTTGCCTTATGCAAATCAATTGTTTAAGTGGATGGAACATTTTTGTATGGCAAATACAAAGGGACTTTATTGGTGGCAGTTGCGCAAGATGGCCACAACAATATAATTCTCATTGCCTTTGTTGTGATTGAAGGTGAAACTAGTGATGCATGGTTCCTTTTTTTAAAATAACTTAAGGAGGTACTTAACCCCGCAATAGGGGTTGTGCCTCATTTCGAATCGTCACAAGGCCATAAGAAGTGCATACTCTAGAAATGGAAGTGGTTAGACGGAAAACAATTCTGTCCATGTCTGTTGCATTAGACACATTGCACAAAACTTCATGCGACGATTCAAAAATGCTGCACTGAAGAAAGATGTCGTTAATATGGGTAATTTTAATTTTTTACGTACTATATATTATCATTAATATTTTATACAATTGCTTAGCTAGTTATATTAATTTAATTTGTAATCTTTTTTCCAGCATATGTGATGACTGAACCAAGATTCTTTTATTATTACAACATAGTAAAAGATAATAATCCTGAAACTGCACAATGGTTAGACATCATCCCAAGGAAAAATGGACGTTAACATGGGACAACAGATGACACTGGGGACACATGATAACAAACCTAGCAAAGTTAATCAATTCGGTCTTGAAGAAAATTAGAAACCTGCCAATTTGCTCCATGGTCATGGCAACATACACTCGTTGCAATAAGTTCTTCATTGAGAAAGGCAGAGAAGTAGATGCAATGATTAATGTTAGACATATGTACTCGAAGGTTGCAACTAAAACAATTCAAGATGTAAACACTCATAGAGTCATCACCTTTGACAGAACAAGCACTAGATTTTTAGTCAAAGAAACGCAACATCTGACATAAATTTGACTGGTATGAAGATTTACAGTACGGTTAGATGAAATGTGGTGTGTTGTGACAAGTTTCAAAAAGTTCACATCCTATGCTTGCATGTACTTGCTTTATGCTTATACACATACCACAACTTTGACATTTACATATCTCCCGTGTATACCTTACAACAAGTTTCTAAGGTATACGAAGTGATAGAAATAGAAATCATCTGTAATTATTTCTTATTGATTTTGTATTAAGTGAGTTCTGAATTTAGTTTAGCTATTTATTGTAAATTGATACTAACAGATTGTATCCTAGAATAGCATAATTAGTAGCTTAATTAGTGGCTCTATATTTTTGTTTATATTGATGAATCATGAATGAAATCGACACGGAATTATTTCTTACATGGTATCAGAAGACATTATTTTTTGGCTTCCGCAATAAAAACTATTTACCTATTCTGTCATTCTCCTCCTTCATTCCTTGCCTTCAACCATGTCTGCAACTCCCAAATTTCATCCAGCTTTGTCTATCACCAATGTGAAAACTCTTATCCCCATCACCTTAGACTTGGAATCGGGACAATACCATTCATGGGCGGCATTGTTCAAGGTTCAAGCAAGGGTACACGACGTGCTTGAACATATCATCCCACCTACAGATGAAGCGTTGAAAGCGGCTGCTGCAGAGGCCAAAGACGCTGATCTCCCTCAATGGAAGCGGCTTGATGCGGTGGTCTTGCAATGGATTTATGCCACGGTCTCAACTGACATCCTCACCTCCATTCTCATTGACGATGACATGGCTGAATATGCATGGCAAAGTGTTGCTGATCTCTTTCATGACAATAAGAATGCACGAGCCATGTATCTTAATAAAGAATTCACCAACACCAATTTTGCTGATTTTTCGATGACGAATGCGTATTGCAATCGTCTCAAAACTCTTGCCGATCAACTAGCCAACGTCGGGGCTCCCGTTAATGAACACAGTATGGTTTTGAAAATGCTTCAAGGTTTGACAGAACCATACTCTCATTTTGTCATTGTTATGCAGAACAAGAAGACCCTACCTAGTTTTGCTACAGCTCGGTCCAAACTTGCTTTGGAGGAAACCACCATCATGGAGCGCTCCAAACAAGAAGCTGGTTCTACCGCCCTTCTCACTAATGATTCCTCTTATGCTGATAATTCATCTTCTCAAACAAATCATCCTCATAATAATTCTCATGGCCGTAGTGGTGGTTTTAAGTCCAACAAACACCGAAACACCAACCAAAGCCGCAACAAAAATAGCAGTGGCAATGGCCGTAGGTTTGGTGATGGTGGTCGTGCTGGTGGTGGACACAGCGACAACCGCAGAGGTGATCATCCCAACGGTGGCGGACAGCAGGTGCAGCGACAATGGTCTCAACCTCCTTGGTGGGTGTCGATGCAAGCACCATGGGCTATTCCTCCTTGTCCATATCCTACTGACCCTGGGCCAAGACTTCCTGGCATACTGGGTTCGAGACCACAACAGCAGCAGGCCTATGCGGTGACTCCACAGCGGACTCCAACGGACATCGAATCTGCAATGCACACGATGTCTCTTTCTCAACCTGATCCGAATTGGTACATGGACACTGGGGCAACGTCGCACATGACATCCACACAAGGTAATCTTTCGTCTTATTTTAATTTTAGCAAAAATCATGGGATTACTGTTGGTAGCGGTCAATCTATTCCAATTCGTGGTTGTGGCCATACAACCTTATCTTCCCCAAACCCACCGTTGTCATTAAAAAATGTTCTTCATGCACCTAAGCTCATTAAAAATCTAGTGTCGGTAAGGAAGTTTACTGTTGATAATAATGTGCGTGTAACGTTTGATCCGTTTGGCTTTTCTGTGAATGATTTGTAGACGGGGAAGCAATTAATGAGATGCGACAGCATGAGTGACCTTTACCCCATAACTTCTACTAGTCAAATGCAAAGTTTTCCACCTTCTGCTTATTTAGCGTCGTCTCTTTGGCATGATCGTTTGGGTCACCTGGGAAATTTGGTGTTAAATTCACTTCAGCAAAATAAAATGATTGATTGTACTAGTCCTTCTAAGTCTATTGCTTGTCAATTTTGTGTCCTCGAAAAACATATTAAGTTACCTTTTGTTGCATCCATGTCTATGACATTTATGCCTTTTGATATTATTCATAGCGATATTTGGAGTTCTCCCGTTTTGAGTTCTTCTAGACATCGTTATTATATCCTCTTTTTGGATGATTATTCTAAATATTTGTGGACTTTCCCTATTGCTAAAAAATCTCAAGTTTTTTCTATTTTCACAACTCTCAACGCTCATATTCATACTCAGTTTGAACGTGCTATTAAAAATGTTCAATGTGATAATGGGAGGGAGTTTGATAATAACTTGTTTTCGCAATATTGTAAGTCGAATGGCATTGCATTCTGTTTTTCATGTCCACATACTTCGTCACAAAATGGGAAAGCCGAAAGGAAAATTCTATCTCTTAATAATATCATGAGAACTCTTCTTCTTCATGCTTCTGTACCACCTTTTTGGCACCATGCATTGGAAATGGCAACATACCTACATAATATACTTCAGAGTAAATTATTAGCTAACAAATCCCCACTAAAAATGCTTTACCAAAAAGATCCCTCATATTCTCACATTAGAGTCTTTGGGTGTTTGTGTTATTCGCTTTTTCCATCTACTACAATAAACAAACTCCAAGCCCGCTCTACTCCATGTGTGTTTTTAGGGTATCTTTTGAATCATCGTGGTTATAAGTGTTTTGATTTGTCTAGTAATAAAATTATCATTTGTCGGCATGTTCATTTTGATGAGAGCAAATTCCCTTTTGCTAAGGTGCATGACCCCAAACCCATTGATTATAATTTTTTAGATAGTGGACTTTCTCCTTACTTGATCCACCATCTTCAAGATACATCCACACAACCAACTCCTCCCACTGCTCTCCCTCAGAACCACCCTTCGCCCACTCCCTCCATACCGCCTAGCTCACATAATGGACCGATACAACAACCCACACATATTCAATCCCAGCCTCCTCCTCTTCAAGCTCCAGTGACCTGCAGCCAACACGGTATTTATAAGCCAAATCCAAAATACACATCCTACCAGACTTATAATACCATGGTTACAAAATCACCACTTTCCCGTAACCCCATAGCTGCTCTCCGTGACCCGAATTGGAAATTGGCTATGGATGATGAATTTAATGCTCTTATTAAAAATAAGACGTGGGATTTAGTGCCCCATCCACCTAATGCTAATGTTATTCGGTCAATATGGATTTTTACTCATAAAGAAAAATTTGATGGTTCTTTCGAGAGGCATAAAGCCCGTCTTGTAGGTAATGGTAAAACTCAAACAGTTGGCATTGATTGTGGAGAAACATTCAGTCCGGTGGTGAAACCAGCAACGATCCGAACAGTCCTTAGTCTTTCATTGTCAAGAAATTGGAAAATTCATCAGTTGGATGTCAAAAATGCTTTTTTGGATGGTGAGTTAAAAGAGACAGTCTATATGCATCAACCTATAGGTTTCAAGGATTCTACACATCCAAATTATGTTTGTTTACTGCGAAAGTCTTTGTATGGACTTAAGCAGGCTCCTCGTGCATGGTATAAACGATTTGCTGATTTTGTTTCTGCCATTGGTTTCACTAACAGCAAATCGGATAATTCACTATTCATTTATCGGCATGGTTCTGATATGGCCTACTTATTATTATATGTTGATGATATTATTTTGACTGCTTCTACTGATGACCTCCGCAAATCTTTGATGGCTAGTCTTAGCTCTGAGTTTGCTATGAAGGACTTAGGTTCTCTGAATTATTTTTTGGGCATAAGTGTGACTCGACACAAGGGAGGCTTATTCCTATCACAACGTAAATATACCGAGGAAATAATCGAGCGTGCTGGTATGGCTTCTTTTAAACCCACTTCTACTCCGGTTGATACTCAATCAAAGGTCAGTGCTCAAGCCGGTACTCAATATGAGGATCCAACCAAGTATCGCAGTCTTGCCGGTGCTCTATAGTATCTCACATTTACACGGCCTGATATCTCTTATGTTGTTCAACAGGTATGCCTGCACATGCATAACCCTCGGGATGTGCATATGACTGCTCTGAAGCGTATCATACGCTATGTTCAAGGAACTCTTCATCTTGGTTTACATCTTTATCCTTCCTCAATTGCCGACCTTGTCTTTTACACTGATGCTGATTGGGGAGGATGTCCTGATACTAGATGTTCTACATCAGGATATTGTGTGTTTTTGGGTGGCAATTTGATCTCATGGTCATCAAAACGATAGCCTACTCTATCTCGTTCTAGTGCAGAGGCCGAGTATAGGGGGTGGCTAATGTTGTTTCAGAATCATGTTGGATTCGTAATCTACTGTTGGAACTACATTGTTCGATTCGTAAGGCAACAATGGTCTATTGTGACAATGTGAGTGCCATTTATCTTTCCGGGAATCCCGTTCAACATCAGCGCACAAAGCATATCGAAATGGATATTCACTTTGTTAGAGAAAAAGTTGCACGTGGAGAGGTTCGTGTTCATCATGTTCCTTCTCGGTACCAGATCGCAGATATTTTTACAAAGGGATTGCCACTTATTTTATTTTAGGATTTTCAGAACAGTCTTAACGTTCGTGAATCTCCCGTTTCGACTGCGGGGGTGTGATAGAAATAGAAATAATCTGTAATTATTTCTTATTGATTTTGTATTAAGTGAGTTCTGAATTTAGTTTAGCTATTTATTGTAAATTGATACTAACAGATTGTATCCTAGAATAGCATAATTAGTAGCTTAATTAGTGGCTCTATATTTTTGTATATATTGATGAATCATGAATGAAATCGACACGGAATTATTTCTTACACGAAGGTCAGTTTGGAGAACTCAAACATGAAGATTATTGGCCAACTTACACGACCCAACTTTGTGTCCAAATCTAGAATTGAAAAGAATTTCAAAGGATCGACACAAGTCTAGTAAGATAAGAACAAAAATGGATATTAGAGAACAACAAACTCGGGTAAAAAATTATTTTTATTGTCACACCTTTGGTCACACAAGGAAGACATGTCCAAATATCGCTCTATCTTCTAGTTTCTGCCATTGATTTATGTTGTTGTTATTACTTTAAATTTTTCTTACTGTCATTGCAGCTTATAATTTTTCAGTATTTGTAATTTATATTAAATATATATATATATATATATATATATATCTACATAATATTATTTAATAATGTCTATTAATATTAATAACATATCTTTTTAAATAAATAATTATGTATAAATTTTAATAAATATTAATATCTCAAAATAAATAAATAAACTTATTATTATTTAATACTTTTATTTATTTTATAAAAATATAAAATTAAATAAATTATTATTGTAATTTTTATTTTTTAAAAATATTATTAAATAACCAAAAATATAATTTTAGAATATAATATTAACATCATTTAAAAAAAAATCAAAATTATATTAAATAATATAATAAGAAAAAAATTATTATTTATTATCATAAATATGTAAAATAAATTTTAATAAATGTGTAAAATAAATATTATTCATTATTTTTACTCATTTTTACATAATATAAAAATATAAATATAATTCAAATAATAAAACTTATTTTATTATATATAATTAACAAAATATTTATAAATATTTATTAAAAACATATTATACATATTTATTTTAATAAAATATAAATATATAAATATAATTTAAATAATAATATTTATTTTATTACGTAAAAACATAAAAAAAATGAAAAAAAAATACCCACTTCAGAATTCGGTTCTCCAAAACTAAATTCTGAGTAGGTATTTGTTACTACAGGAAATAGATCTATCTTGATAAATAAAGGAGAGCTGGATCTATTTGTGTAATTATTTATTTTTTAATATTTTTTTAAAAAAATTTGCAATTTATATGAAACAATATTTTTGTCCTTTCACCCATACTTTATGCACTGGCACTCGGTCTATTAGTTTCAATATACAACACCACTTCTGTTTATGTCAAACGTCAATGTTCATGGCCTCCATGTAGATTACCAATTTGCCCAAAAGAGTCCACGCCTTCCCCACCAAAGCCAACACCCAATCAAAACTTGTCCCTTTCAACCTTCTCTCTCTCTCTCCTCTCCACTCCTACTTGTATTGTGTGGTCTCAACGCCCACAAACATCCTCTCCACCAATCACAACTCAGTGCCTTTGACCTCTCTCTCCACTCCTCCCTGTTCCATAGATCGCTGTCTCACAACCAGTACAAAGACCTTACATATTCTTGTTCCCTTTTTTCTACTACTCTTCACTTCACTGCAAACAACCCCTTCCTTTCCTTTTTCTTCATCACCCTCTTTTACCATTCATATTCCATTCTCAAAGTTTGTTTCTTTTTTCTTTCTTCATTTTGCTTTTCTTCTTCTCTTGTGTCAACTCCATATTTAAGCTTCTTGGGTTGAATTCTCAGCATGTTTTTGGGCTTATCTTCCACTTTCCTATCTGGGTTTTGCTTTTTTCCCTTCATGTGTTGGTGATTATTACTTCTTCTCTTAGATCTGCTTTAGGGTTTGCATGCTTTCCACTTAAGTTGTGGAATTTGGAATTCTCCTTGGATTTTGGAAAGAAAGCCTTTTTCTAGATTCCTTAGGTTGTGGCTATGTGAAAAGTGTAGCAGATTCTTTGCAAATGCTTGTTGATTATATGCTTCTTTGTCCATTAGAAACCGACTACTCCAGTACTCTTCATATCTTCTCTGGTTAATTATCTCTCTCTTTGAACTTTCTTCAAAGAGAGAAATTGTGTATGTTTGTGTGTTTGTGATCCTATAATAATAATATGTCTCTTGGCATGATTGGTAATTGCTATGAGTGTTACTAGTACTACTATAATATAGAAAAATGAACAGAGGAATTGAGGTTCTTTCTCCAGCTTCTTACCTTCGAAGTTCTAATTGGTTGTTCCAAGAGAGCCTGGGAACCAAATGGACACCACAAGAGAACAAGTTGTTTGAGAATGCTTTGGCTGTGTATGATAAGGACACTCCAGATCGTTGGTTGAAGGTGGCAGCCATGATTCCAGGTAAGACTGTTGGTGATGTGATCAAACAGTACAAAGAACTGGAGGAAGATGTGAGTGTCATTGAATCTGGGTTTATCCCAGTTCCTGGGTACACCGCTGGTTCTTTCACTTTGGAGTGGGTTAACAATCAAGGATTTGATGGGTTCAAGCAATTTTATGGAGTTAATGGCAAAAGGGGTACTTCCACTAGGCCATCTGACCAGGAAAGGAAGAAAGGAGTGCCATGGACTAAAGAGGAGCACAGGTAATGGCGCATCATAAGCCTTCTTTTGTGTGTTGTTTTGTATGTTGCTTCTTCAAAAGAGAATATTTGAGGAAGAATCCATGTTTGAGTTTGAAGTTAAGGAATTTACTTGCTAGTTTTGAGTTTTAGGTAATTTTCACTTACTATTGGCTGAATGTTTACAAGTCAGTTCTGGTTACTGTATGTGATTCGTATGAAAAATACTTCACTGGCTGATCTCTTGTTTTTGCATATATATATTTGCCAAACTTTCAGGGCTTTTGCTCTTTGCTCTAATGTTATGCAATTTTTGTTTTGAATACAATTTTTGTCCACTTTGATTGTCCCCTATACTTTTGGGTTGTATTTTTAAGGTATATTTGTATAGACAAAAAATAAAAACTGAGTTAAAAATAAAAACAATTGTATACAGTGTAACATACAATTTGAATTTTTAGTTGTTCTAATACCGGATTCAAAAAAAAAAAAAAAACACTCAAGATGTATTAAAATAATACAAAATAGATAATGAAATCCGTGCCGAACTTAATGTGACCTTTTCATTATGCAGTGTTTATGCAAAATCTACTGTCTAATATCTAATGTTGGGTTATTTGCTAAATGAACTATTCAGACAGTTTCTGCTGGGTCTCAAGAAGTATGGTAAAGGAGATTGGAGAAACATCTCTCGCAATTTTGTGACCACAAGGACACCAACTCAGGTTGCAAGTCATGCTCAGAAATATTTCATTAGGCAACTAAATGGAGGGAAGGATAAGAGGAGATCAAGTATCCATGACATCACAATGGTCAATCTCCCAGAAACAAAATCTTCATCAGAGAGTAACAAACCCCCTTCTCCAGATCACTCAATGAAGGATGTGAATCCACACCAGAATCAAAGATTGTCTAGCTTGGTTAAACAGGAATATGATTGGAAATTGCCATGTGAGAGTGTTCCTATGCTTTTCAATTCAACAAATGGAAACATGTTCATGACACCACTTTGTGGTATTTCTCCATATGGATCTAAACCACAGGAACAGTATTTACTCAGAGGCAGTCTCAGTGGATGCCAATTTGGACCTTATGATAGCATTATGCAGATGCAATCTATGCAACAAAAGTGAACTAATACATATAATGCAGGCTTTAGAGTTCTAAGGTACTAAATTGCTAAAGCATATATACTGATGTTGGATTGAATTTCGGATGCTTAATTGGTGATTTATGTGAATATGTTGAGGAGGATTTTCCATTCGTCCTTGTTACTTCATCTCTGAAGAATGTTCATATTAAAGTTCTGGGACTATTCAGTCAAAATGAAGCTGGGGCTCCTGTGACACGATTTTCTGATCAAATGTTTGTCATTTCATTGTGTTGACAATTGCATCTCACGTGCTTCTTTTTCTTTTTCATTTTCCTTTTTTTTACTGTAAAGGATTTAATTATCTGAGACCAAGAGTGCAAGATCACAGAGTATGACATAAGGGAATTATCTGCAGAAAGTACAGGGCAAGAAGAGTTTTCTAAGTCAAAGGTTTTAAATTGTGGTCATTAAGACATTTGGGGTCTATGAAAGGATATTGATATTGCGACAACAATTGTGGCCACACTTGTCTGCAATCTTTTAAGGTTTATGAGTTCTTGTAACTCACTCTTTATGAAATGCTTGATGCTTCAAATAAATATATGCAGTTTCAAGTTCACAGAATCCATGAAACACAGGTACGACCTTCAATCATACTGACATAATAAAATGAACTGTTACCAATGAAAAATTTTGATAACATAAATTTTTATCAAATTTAAATTTATATTATTGAACGTATAACATAATTTCATATCCTAAATTTGTGATAAGTTCTAAATATTTGGTTAGAAAATAATAATATACGAATTTTAAGTAAAAAAATTTACGGAAAGATTAAATTTGTTAAATTTTAGAACTAAAGAATCTTAATGAGCTATAAAAAAAGATTAAGATATTACAATTACACAAACTTTAGACCATTGCTTAATAAAACACATTTTATTGAAAATACTATTAACACTAACTGTCATTTTAAATATAATTTTACTGTAATTTTTAATAATTGTTTTATTTCTTAATTAATGTCTTCAAAATGTTTGTTAACAATGCCGTAATATAAATTTTAGAGATTAACCTCACAATTAAATCTTTCGTATATTATTTGTTGTAATCGATGATGTGTCTGGACTTTTGCTCGTCAAATACGAGTCTGTATTTTTTTTATTTTTAATTTATGCCAACAGAGTTACAAACTTCTCCGTTAAATGCCGTAATTTTTTGCAGCTTTCACCAAAAATGGATCTCGGATTATATATATATATTACTTTATAAAATATTAAAAAAAAATAAGTAAGAAGATAAAACAAAACTCAAACAACTTATATGGGTTAAAATTCTCAGCTGGCTATACTGGTTGCGGTGGAGGGGTAAATTCGCTTTATACTTTATTCATCGTTCAAATATTTTTCCGTTTGTTTTTAAATTTTGTAATATTAATTTTACAAAAAAAGTAATTTTTGTTTAAATATGATATTTTAAAATATGTTGAAAATTACAAATATTATTTTCTTGATAAAAAAATATTGATTTTAAACCATAAATAAAATATAATTTGTAATTTCATCTAGAATCAAATTTATCTAGTGGAAAAGTTTAAAAAATGTACCCTTTTTTTTTCAATTAATCATTCCAATCGCAAAATGAATTTTATTTACTGTGAATATAAAGCAAACACCATGTAATTATGGAAAATTGAATTTAAATAGTACAGTGTGATTTTAAATCACCTTGACCTGCTAACTAAACAAAAACTTAGTATTTGAATTATTGTTAACCAATAAATTTTTTTATTGATTGAACCAATTGAACCATAACCTGAATATTTTGATTTTAAATCACATTGACCTGCTAACTAAACAAAAACTTAATATTTGAATTATTGTTAACCAATAAACTTTTTTATTGATTAAACGAATTGAATCATAACCTGAACATTTTCACTTGGATAGATAAAAGAGAGCTTTAAAATATAATTAGTTTTAAAAAGTAATCTTTCCTCAAATACCAACAGAATTTGGTTTATCTTTCAAAATACGTGTTTGTGAATATTGATTTTTACCTGATTTTAAGAATATTAAAGCAATAATTTTATATTTAAAAATATTTATTATTATTTTTATATAATAAATCCTATTTTTTGATAAAATGTTATATTTTTAGATGCTTAAAATAGTTCAAAACTTTCATATTGATATTTTTTTAAAATATGAATTGATTGGATAAGGTTAATATGTATTTCATTATCGAACATGTGAATATAAGATTTATTCTGATTTAATCTATGATTTTGAATTTAAATTTCAGTAAATTTAAATATTTTAAATATTTAAAAAGAGATGTTTCTAAAATTTAAAAAATAAACTTTAAATTGTGGTTTAACTTTGACATGAGTTCACCTGTTAATCGTTATGTTTAGAAATTCACTATAAAATGTATAACTCACTTTATTGAAAATTAATTTTACAAGTTATTAATTTAAGATACATAATCTTCTCATGCTAGTGTAAGTATAAAAATTTTTATATTTGATTTAAATTTTTTATTTAACTTTAATTTAATGGTCAATTAAATAAATTATAATCTGTTACATATAAATTAAATAAAAAACTCAAATCGAATGAAAGTTTTTAAATTTATACTATTACGAGAAGTTTTCTTTCCTTAATTCTAACATAATTATATACATATCGATCCAACCATATTCTAAAAATATGTCTCAATAATTAATAGATGCATTTAGTATTGAATAAATCTCACGTAAGTTTTATTGAATATTAAAAAAATATGTTAATTAAAAAGAGAATGTAAGCAAAGTCCATGATTCTACAATAATTCATGGTTTTATGTGCTACCCATGAATAAGTCCACGGGTTACTTTTAATTGAACGTGTTAAGTTACTCTCCAATGGGCTAATGATCGTACGTGTCAACTGAATATTGATAAGGAAGCAGAATCGTAATGCGTGGAATGATCGAAATAAGGAATGATTCACGTGCTTTTTGTAGGCAAGTGGAAGCAGTTCATTTGGACACTAAGCCATATCATCATATATGCTTGGTTCGAAATTGCTGAGTCACGCAGCATTTCTTCAAAGTGACACATAAATGTATGCTACATTGCCTTAGTAAATTCCACTACATTTAAACAGCTATGATAATAATGGAAATTAATTGACCCAGTTTGATGCCGAATCTTGACCATATATCGATGTACCAAGGTCACTACTATGAGCATCTCATGCTCCACCCTTGCCCCTTTTAACTTTGTTCTCTCTATAAGCAAGGAAGTTCTTCTTTTTTTGTTTTCCAACATTTATTTTTGTCTCTTTGGGCGTGTGGTGCTCCTTTCACTTTACAATAATCTATCGTGGATGTCTTTATGTCTATATTTTTTCTGGTTCGAAATTAAGATTTGTATTTCCTTCAATGAACATAGCAATTACCTAATTAATTAGAAAACCATAAGATCATTGACCAGAAAAGAAAAGACCATGGGTTCACGATGCACCTCAAATTCCAAATCCTATTCCTAAGCCTTGAAATGGGGCAAGAACTTTTATGTACTGTTTGATTTAAATGAAAGAAGAGCGAAAAGAAACTTCATTGAAGGAAAGAAATGGAAGAAAAAACATCATTAATAAATCGAAAAGCTATTTTATTTAATTTACAAGGGAAGAGGAGAAGATGGGAAGAAAAATAAATATAAAAAGGGTAAAATATATATATATACTTATTAAGTTAAACATAATTACATCAGATTAATCTAAAGATTTTAATTTAGCTCCCTCCTTCCTTTTTTTTTTCTCTCTAAAAAATATTGAACTATATATGAAAAATTCATAGGATTTCCTTCCTCTCCTTTTCTTTTTTATTTCTCTCGAACTAAATGCTATGTAAGGTTAATAACGGCTTGACATATTTTAAACTTTTGGCATGATTCATTAATAAGGAATAATGTCAACCAGATTAATTTAAGTGTTATAGTATGTATAGATTCTTTAATTTCTTTCGGACATGATTTTTACTTTTCATTTCTTTTTCTCTCTCTTTTTCTTGATAGTTTTCTTTTTCCCATTTTTAAATGAGGCGTTGTTGCTAATTATGTTCTTGGAGTGTATATTTTTGGAGCTCATGATGGAATCTTCTGTTAATCGAAACCAAAGAAATATTCACCAGTCAAATACAAATTCTGTCCATCATTAGCTAGCTATATGGAAAGAGCATCTTCATAGCAAATAATTAACGGGTGGAGGCTTTCAGAAGAAGCAACTCTTGTCCAACTTCTAATATTACATACAGAAAAAGTCACGTAACGTAATAAAAAAATATCTTTAAAAATACTCATTTAAAAATGAGAAAATCTATGAAATAGAATATATATATATAGTAAAATTATAAGTATATGCAATTGTAAAACAATGTTTTCATACCATCTTTTTGTGATTTTTCAACTATGAGCTGTCGAAATTTAATGAAATTGAAAGGTTTGTTTAAGCATCACCAACTTTTTTCATAACTGCTTTGCCGTAATAGAAATCTTAAAAAGCCAAGTGAAAAGAGAAATATACTTTTATAAATAATGTTCGGTCAAATATAATATTGGAGTTTTTCCATGTTAGGTTATGATTAAGACATTTATATTCACCCGTGAACATAGTTTCTATTTCATGAAATCCTACGGTGCAGACAGTCCTAAAAAACAGAACATTGATGTCATAAAACAAATAGCTTCTCACTTCCACTCCGTCTCTTTCTTTCTTTTGATGTTGCTGTAGCTTATTGCCGGCACTAAATTTGTTGTTGCTTTTACAACCTTTCTGAAAGGCATATAGTACCCATCATACAGTTTGGTCCCACCCACTAAATCAAAAAGTTGCAAAGCAAAAATGGCACCGAAAATGTTTCACCATGATCAATGATAAAACAAGTATCTTTAGACTTTATTTAAACATTTAAAGATTAATATCGTCTGTGATATTATTTATGTTTATGTTTATTTTATTTAGTATTACACTACAGATCTTAAAAATATTTCTATATATTAAAGAAAATATTAAAAATGTCTCGCTTAAAATGTTCACTACATTTTTAATGACAAATTCCCACTTTTCTTCAATAAAGATGCACCTTTCTTGCAAGTTGTCTAGCCAAACACCACTTTACTTTATTCTACATTTGATAAACCCAATGGGTAGATTTATAACCAGATTTCTAGTCTCACTTCCTATAGTGTGTGGTTTTCTTATTGCCCCTACGCCCCCTTACCAAATATTAAAATACAAAAGAACTGCAACTTGATTAACTATATTCTGATTCTTACGTTGAACTCGATCCCTAGTGGATGCGTAAGAGAGAATTGGTTACTCAGCTCAAAAAAGAGAAAGAGAGATAAGGAGTGGGAGCAGAGAGAGCATAGAAGAAGAAAACAAAATACCATATGATCAATAATCAGTTAGTGGTCAATGGTGGGAATAAATCTTCTCAGGTTTTATATTCAAACATGACAAAATCGTGTTAAACCCTTGCATCTATATTTCTCTTGATAAATGTTGAATAAGTGAAGTTTATTTAATATTTATGAGGAGAGA